GGTTTGGGGTTTGAGTTTGGGGTTTAGGCTTCTGGGTTTTTAGGGTTTAGGGTTTCTCTACAGCCCTCTGAGCTTTATGGCGTTGGGGTTTTTAGGGTTTTGGGCATAGGGCTTTTCCTCACTTGGACCTTATAGGCAAAGAACGAAACATATTGCATTTCTGTTCGGAATCAGTGCTCAGGGCCTGGGTTTGAGGTTGTAGAGCCTTGGGGGGCATTTTTGATAAGACCACAGATACTATAGATCTGTGCTGGCTAGGGGGAGTTCCAAAACCCTGGACCCTAAACCCTAAACGGTTTCCCCTTGTCTTTCTCAGGCTCTGCAGGGCTACTCTTCTGGTCTTTCAAGCCTTAACAGGACTTCAATTAGGACAGAGTAGGGTTTAGGGTTTAGGGTTTAGGATTTAGGGGCCCTTATTTCAGGGTAGCCCCTTCAACCCTAAACCCTCCAACCCAAGCTCTTTTGCATTCCCAGGTTACTCTTGGGTTTACCCGACGACGAGCGAGTAGACAGCAAGAGCGTCGTTCATGTCAAAACTGTAGAAGCGCTTTCACAGGCTGAAGTTCGTGTTGCCATATTGATTTAAGATGGCAAGTTCCCTAAACCTTAGACCCTAAACCTAAACCCTAACTGTCATGTCGTTCAGGACCCTCAACAGCAACCCAGAGTAAGCAATGAGAACCCCAGTGAAAAGGCCGAGAGCATGTGGCCTACGTTTGTGTGGCTTTAGTAGAGATTAGGGTTTAGGGTTTGGGGTTTAAGGTTTAAGGTTTAGGGTTAGGGTTTAGGGTTTAGGATTTAGGGTTTAGGGTTTAGGGTTTAGGGTTTAGGGTTTAGGGTTTAGGGTTTAGGGTTTAGGGTTTAGGAGGGGATACAATAATGCCTATTCAGGACTGTTGGTATGAAGGAGAACGTCCCAGCTGGTTCAGCTTGTGAGCAGGGTAGGGGTATGTAAAGTTGGCGCTCTTATTGCTGTCCTTGCTGCTTTTCGTGGAGGCAGGTTGCGCTCCTCTGGCTTCACGAGAGTGAATCCAACACTCAAATACTGCCGTTCATGTACCTAGGCGCTTAGGGTTTAGGGTACTATCACGGAAGTAGGTACCCCAAAAAGCATACGAAAAAGGAGGGCGCGGAACTGAGATGCCATGGAGTACCTCTCCGCGACGTCCTCACCCGACACCGACGCGGTCCGACAGCACGTCGTGCGAAGCTCTGCCCTGCCTGCACGTTGCCCCTGACGTGGCATAGCCTCACTTAGTAGCTACGTGAGTACACTTTGCACTTTTGGGGATACTCTAACCTAAACCCTAAACCCTAACCCCCTATAGAACTGAAGGTGTACACTTTTCTGGGGCTCATGAACTCACGAAGTTCAAGAAGTTCATCCCACGTCATGACAAGGGATGAAATGGGGGTTTACGAAACTAAGGGACCCCGAATATGGACCCCAAAATCGTAGGATTCCCTTCCCTAAGAAGGTAGCCCTAATTCGGAAACCCCCAAATGAAGGTTGTTTGGATGTCGCGCGGCATGCTATTTGTTTCGCGCACCAAAACTTTCACAACAGGATTTCAGTGACAGTCTGCGGTGCATGCAAGACACGCGGCAAGATGCTTCCATGTGATAGATGCCAGGTTACGTACTTCGCGCAAAGTCACAAGCACGTACGTAGTACTTCTCTACTATTTGCTTAAGAACCCCAAAAGAATAAAAAATGATAACCCCTATATTACCCTTAATCAGGAAGAACATTTTTAACTTTTTTGGGTTCTGAAGCAATCCGTAGTTCTCACTCAGAGAAGCCCTCCGATGTCCACTAACATGCGTAGCTTCTGGGCGGGTGTGTTCGAAGCAACCATGTTTGTAATGTTCTGCGCAGGTTTTTCAGGGGCCATAACTATCCTTAAGGCCAAGCCCAACCCCTAAACAGAAACAAGCGCAGGCTGCAACAAGTAACCAGCAACGTCAGGTGCATACGCCCGGAGAGGAGGCCCGAGAGGGGGACAGACTCGGAGTCCGGGCTTAGGGTTTTGGGTTTTGGGTTTTGGGTTTTGGGCGCCCTAGCAACCCTAGATCCCTGTGCGCCAATCTACGTGCTTCTTTCCCCAAGATGGGTTTCAGGCGCATTTAAAGGGGGAAGTCCTGTTCGTGGGTTTATACTCGTGGTTTATAAGAAGTGTTAGTTTTTGGGTACCATTCGACTCAAGTTGTTTTGCCTTCTGTTGCGGTTGCTGTTGCTTCCCGTGCCTGGTACGTCGGTCAATGTCAAGCAACAAAACTAAAAAGGCTTTCGACGAACAGATTTGCTGATGCTTTAGTTCACCCGCTGCCAAAAGGCAGGATTTTGGCAACATCCGCACCTTGGTGCTACGCGGTAGCTTCTTGAGTTGGGTCTTGGTGCGATGTTTGTTCCGTATCTTACTGACGCATTTCTGTCTTCGTGCTGCTCGAACATTGAGTGAAGTCTCTTCGTGGTCGAAGAACGCAAAGCAATCCTCTTGGCATATGTTCAGGGTTCGCTCGTCCACGTTCTATGGCCCACGCACGTTCATGAGGTGGAAAGGCTTCCACGGCAACAGTCCCTGCTTGTTCAACGGCAGGAAGGTGTAACCACTTAAACTTGAGTAGTCAAATCCTACATCATACACCCCGAGCAACAGTTCGTTACCCACCTTGTCTGGTCGCAGGGTGCGTTGAGGCTGGTAACAAGAAGAGCAATCGCATTCACAGGAATACGAAGAATCCCGTAAACCCGAAACCCTAAACCGCTAAGTGCCAACGAAGCCAGGACTGGCAAGCACTGGAGCAACTATGGAGCGAGGGCGAGGGAAAGCACCTGCAAAGCAACAGGCCGCCCCCCTAGTTGGACTGAAGGGTTTAGGGTTAAGGATTTAGGGTGCAAGAACTCCCTCTTCGAAGGTACGCATGCACAACCAAGAAAGTACTTGAGTTGCCCCCTCCCCCTTCCCTTCCCAATCGTACACCCTAACCGCCCTCGGTTGGCTCCAGCTCTCGCAAAAGGATGGCCGACGCAGAAACGCCCGAGAACGCCCTGAGAACCCCGTGACCCCCCCATTCCCTCGAACCACCCGAACTCCTAGACCTTGCAAGTTTAGGGTTTAGGATTAAAAGTTTAGGGGTTTGGGGTTTAGGGTCGAGGGTTGAGGGTTCCGAGGTAGCTCGAGACTACCCAGGTCGCACTCCCGAACTCGCTCCGCCCTCTCAGAGACAAGGGCAGCAACTCAGCAACCTTACTTGGAGGTTCATGGTCCTTAGTAATCCAGTCACTGTACTTAAAATCCCAGTTATAAGGGCACTTAAGGGGCTTATAAGTGGGTTGTATGTACAGTTCTAGTTGGGTTGTAAGAACCATGAACCTCCAAGTAGCTGATGCCTCAGCGACCGGGTTCCCAGTAGTTTAGGGTTTAGGGTGTAGGGTTTAGGGTTTAGGGTTTAGGGTTTAGGGTTTAGGGTTTAGGGTTTAGGGTTTAGGGTGCCCCTCAAAGCTCAAACCTCACCAGCATGGGGGCAGGAGCCGCACCGAAGCTCGCGCCAGGCACGTGCAGGTGCTGGAATGGCAGGGGCCTTGGGAAGGATGCTTTGGGGTTTAGGGTTTAGGGTTTAGGGTTTAGGGTTTAGGGTTTAGGGTTTAGGGTTTAGGGTTTGTTTGGTCCTCCAACTCGGAATAAGTGCTAGCAGTAGTTCCTTATGATCTTCCGGATCAGTTGGCTGTTCTTTGTGGCGTTTCAGACACAAAGGTGAGAAAGAGGCATAGCGGCCCTCCGTGAGCAGTGGCCAGTAGGTTGCTGGACTATGTTGGGTGGGTGGAGAATGGATGGCGTTCATCTCAACCCTTGCTTCCTCATCATTCATCAATATCCAAGGAACAAATCTCAGACTTTCAGAACTGTGCCAGACTGAAAAGGAAACCGACAAATCTAATCAGCCTGCTAGAGTTTCGGGGCGTATTGTAGTAGACAAATCACCAACTAAAACCCCAAAACGTGTAAGCCCCCAGAAACCCATGAAGCCCCAGCAAGCCCCTTCAAGATCAACAAAAAAACCCAAGACCCAGTCAGCAAATTGGATCACCTAAATTCTCAACCCTGAAACCCTAAACCCACTAAACTGGGGATGTTCCCCCTTGTACTAACAGTCCTGAATAGGGAGTATAGCACCCCCTATATTATCCCTATTAAGGACTGTTAGTATAAGAGGGAACATCCCAGCACTAAACCCTCAACCTTGGGGTTCTTAGGGCTCTTAGGACTCTTAGGGGTTCTTAAGGCCCAACCCACAAAACCCTAAACCCACCAAAACCCTAAAGCCTAAAGCCTAAACCCTAAACCCTAAACCCTAAACCCTAAACCCTACTAACTAGAAAACCTTAAACCCTGAACCCTCAAAGCCCCCCCAGACGATCAAATGTCTGCGCCGCTCCCAGGCTCGTGCGGACGCACTGGGACCACCCTAGGAGGGAGGAGCTGGCGGCCGCTTTCGGAGAACTGCGGTTTGGGGTTTAGGATTTAGGGTTAGAAGTTTAGGGTTTAGGGGGTGTAGGGTTTGGGGTTTTGGATTTAGGGTTTAGGGGTTTGGGACGTTTCATGCATAGGAGATCACGGCTGTTTGTGAAGTGTTTCGGGCATTTTGGGCCGTGGGGTTGGGGGCGTGGGAATAGAAACAATGGATGGGGCATTTGTCAAAGCACCCAGGGCTACACCCTAAACCCCCCTGAGCCCTAAGCCCTGGACCTATTATCTGCCTAAAACCCCCAACAGTAAAAGACAAAACTCCCTATACTGCTCTGAAGAGGAAGAATGTTATTTCTTCTTTGAGGGGTTCTTAAATAGGACAACCGCCTGCCCTAAATTTAGTCCCTAAAAACCTCCCCCTGGCGCCCTAAGCCCTAAGCCCTAAGCCCTAAACCCTAAACCCTAAACCCTAAACCCTAAACCCTAAACCCTAAACCTGAGCCCAGGGGCCCCCAAGCCAAGGACGCCATGGGCGAGCGGCTTTGCGTGCGCTTGCACCTTGCACCGCACCGCCGGCAGTGGACCGAAGCGCTGAATGATGCTGGACGATGGGGTTTGGGTTTAGGGTTTCGGGTTCCGGGTTTGGGGTTAGGGTTTAGGGTTCAGGGTTCAGGGTTTAGGGTTTAGGGTTTGGGGTTTGGGGTTTGGGGTTTAGGGTTGCTTTCGGATCCTTGTCTCCACCAGAGCCATGCCCAAGTCCAAGTCTAACCGAGGCGGCCCAAAACCCAAAACCCTTTTTGGACTGAAATCTCCAAATCTCGAGGGTTTAGGGTTTAGGATTTAGGGTTTAGGGTTTAGGGTTTAGTTATCAGTGCCCCTGGAGGCCCCTGTGCCCCAGAGTTCCCTTGCCTGCCGGCTCGGTGTGTTCGCCTGCTCGATGTACCCCCTGGGCTCACTCAGTTCGGGTTTGGAGTTAAGGGTTTAGAGTTTTAGGGTTTTAGGGTTTAGGGTTTCGGGTTTAGGGTTTAGGGTTTAGGGCCTTACTGTGAGCTGGTTCCCTCCTTGAAAGTGGCCACGCAAGATTTTGGGAATTCTGGGACAGGACCACAGGAACGGCTACAGGCTTCAGGACGCATGTAGTGAACCCAATGGCCAGACCCTCATGTTGGCTTACCCTAAATAAACCCTAAACCCTATGTGGGCAGTCCTCCACATCATGGTCCTTTTTGGGGCATAGAGGGCTCCGTATGACACTCCCTGAATAATATTCAATAATTAGAATAGGGTTTTGGGGGGGTGAAGTAGAGTAAATTTCTAGAGGGACCATAACGGAACACCGTTAGAAAATTATTCCGACCCCTATAGTAGAACTTAGAAAAGGAGCCATGTGGGTGTTTCCCAAAATCGGGGTACCCCCTTTATAGAATACCCAAAGCCCGATGCTTGGAAGCCCCCATATAACTTAGCCCCTGTGCAAAAACAGCTCCACCCCGTACATTCCTTCGCAAGAGCCAACAACATACTCAGGGCAAGACAAGCCTAGAAGGAGATCCTGGTTTAGGGTTTAGGGTTTAGGGTTTAGGGCTTGTTCTATCTAAGCTGGTGTGTTTGGTTCCCCAAACGGGCATGTCCCAAGACAGCGGTACCCCTTTTATACCCCCAGATGTACTCGAACCCCCTCGGACAAAACTATCCCCCCCCCCCTATCTTCGGAGCCCAGACCCCAAACCCGAAGCTCCTCAAAAAATATTTACCCTAAACCCCAAAACCTAACCCCTAAACCCTCAAAAAGTAAGGAGCAGCTCGTCTCCATTCCAGTGCTGGACACGGTGGACGCCGTCCCGTGGCCAGGTGCGGTTGCCGGGGGGGGAGTTTTAGGGTTTACGGTTTGCGGATTTTAGGGTTTTAAGGGCCTTAAGGGCTTTAGGGCCTTTAGGGCCTTTAGGTTTTAGGGCTTCGTGGTTTTTAGGGCTTTTCAGGTTTTTTAGGGCTTTTGGGGCTGTTAGAGCTTTTAGGGCTTTCAGGGCTTTAAGGGTTTTAGGGCCTTGAAATGTTCAGGGCTTTGGGGGTTCGAGGGCTTCATTGACTGGCAGGGCTTGAGGGCTTGAGTGCTTCAGGGTTTAAAGCATTATAGGGCCTAAGGGTCTTTAGGGTTTTTGGTTCAGGGTTTTAGTGTCTTGAAAGCCCCTTGGTGCAGCAATAAGCAGAGACACACAGCGAGCAGTGCGAGCTTGGAGTGAAACCCTAAATTTCTGAAACCCTATAATCCTAAAAAGACCCTAAAACCTTAAACGCCTGAAGCCCTAAAACCCTAAAGCCTTAAACATGGACTTAGCAGCTAGCACACCAGGGCCGCAGGTGGTTACGTGGCCCGAAGGGTGTCCAGCCAAAGGTTCCCCTGAATTTGCTCCTCATACGGCCTTTATACTACCTGATGGATCTGTACAAAGGGTCCCCAAAACCCAAGGGTACAACCTTACAGTAAACTCCATGAAGTTGAAGTTGGAACATGGGTTAAGGGACGATTCGTGCTGGGATTCCCTTTAGTCGGTCCCAAGGATAATGATGTCCCAACTACCCAAAATCCCAAAACCCGGAAACCCAAGAGTTTTACTGTAAGGGTCCAAGGCACAATCCCTTAATGTACTCCTAATACTACCTTACGGCTCTTCAAAAAGGGGTCCCCCAACCCCCAAGGGCAGAACCTGAAGGGCCCACAAGGTACAGTCCCTCGATGGCATGAGGACTGTCAAGGTAGCCCAGTGGTACCCTTTGCCCGTTTTTTGCTCTGGGTTCCCCCTAAACCCTAAACCCTAAACCCTAAACCCTAAACCTAAAAAGTAACCAACCAGAGAAAGGGTGCCTTATGATTACATTGGTTACGGGGCAGGGGGGCCAAGTCTTGAAGACGAGGTCCCTGGGACCGAAGGCTGCCGCTCTGCCACTCAAAAGTCGCCCCAAAAAATCGCAGCCCCCCCCCCCCCCCCGCCCAAAAAAAAAATAATAATCACAATAATAATAAGAATAATAATAATAACAATAATAATAACAATACTAACAATAATAATAATAACAATAATTATCGTAATAATCGTAGTAATAGTAATAGTAATAGTAATAATAAAGAGAAAGCAAAAGACCTGGGCAGCGCGTCGCCTTGAGCTCTACAAAAGGCTCTCTGTACCACGAACTCAGGCCTCAGGGATACCTGTGGGGATAAACTTTTAGTTTCTGGGCACGAGAATTCCGAAGAAACAGCTGAAATCATGGTTTTTGGGTACGAGAGTTCCGAAGAGACAGCTGGAATCATGGTTTTTGCGACGGTTCCAAGTTCAGCATACCCCCCCCGTGTGCAGCTTAAATAGGGTTTATTTGGAAGCTGGCACTCGTGTTCACAAGAGGAAAAAAGGCCCCAAAACGTATACTTATTTACAAGAGCCAACTTCCAAATAGACCCTATTTTAGGTCCTAGGGGGGGGTCCCAGGCCTGAATTAAATATGAAGGCCCCGATTTAAATATGAATATTTAATTCTGGAGCTTCATATTTAAATTATTTAATTCGGGCCCGGGAATTAAATAATTTAAATAATTTAAATAATTTAAATAATTTAAATAATTTAAATAATTTAAATAATTTAAATCCTGGAGGGGGGGGGGGCGGGCCTCCTCCCCCAGGAGGAATTAAATAAT